AGCAGCAGTGACATCACATATCAGCTGGGCACCACTGTTGCCTTCACCTGCTCTCCAGGCTTTGTGATGGAGCAAGGTTCAGGGACCATTGAGTGTGTCGACCCCAGCAATCCCCACTGGAATGACAGCGAGCCTGTGTGCAAAGGTAAGATTCAGAACACGGTTGTGTTTTCAATAAGTAAATGGGCTACTTGATTTAATGAGGCCCCTTTTGTGTTTCTTGGGGTTTGCCCTTTCCTCTAGTGTGTTATATAGATTTTAGTGCATGTAAATGGTCTGCAAAGGCTCAAACCCCAAAGTTCTCGTGAGAGGGAGTTTCTCTCCCACACACTCCCTTCCTGCCCAAACTGCCTCAGTTAGCCCCATTTATTTACTTTAGCAACATAGTGACATCACTATGTAACACTCGTTCTTCTATTGGCTAGTGCTCTAACACATTGTTCGTGAAAGTCTAAGGGGCGGGACATCTCCAAGGGGTTAACCAATCACAACAGAGCCGGCCAGCTAACGGTCAGCCAATCAGAGCAGACTTGACTCTGGTTTCAGACAGAGGGTGAAAAGAGTTGCTGCAGCACAGGCAGTATGAGAAAAATAAAGAGCTTTTTGAACGTTAAGGCATGTAAACATGTCACAGTAGACGCACAACATACATTTTGAAACCAGAACATTTAAATAATAGGGCCCCTTTAACTAAATCTAAATATTTTGCTTGTCCTTAATTCCAAAACTTTTCTAAGTTTGAGCATAAAGTGAGAAAGTAATTTGATTCATTTATATTCAAATAGTTGAGTGGGTGATTGAAGCATCAAGATGTTGTAGCTGCAGCCACGCTGACTGTGTCATCTGCTGAACTGCTGTCATGCTGTGAAAAGTGAGAGCAAGTGAGAGATCGTAAATAAAACTGGCAGAGACACTCCAACAGGTGCTAGAGTTGAACTAAGTGAAATACATTCAGAAAGCCATATGTTGTGCAGCGTTTCTGCTTGTAACTCATTCAGTTCTCTCAGAGCGGAAGCTGTTTCAAAATGAGGCATCAGCTGTTGCGTTCCTATCTGATTGTTAATATTGTATTCTGCTCATATCTGCCCGACTGTTATGCTCCCATATAATATGTTTTGGTCATGATCCCAAGAAAGTGTGTGTGCGAAACTTTCACGCCCTGTTTTATTCCATCTCATGTTGCTGTAAACAAACCTTACCCCACAACTGATGGCCACTTGTGTGTTCACATTCTCTCAGTTTTCTCACTACCTCAGTTTTAAGGAGTGCTTCATATGAGAGAAAGACCTTCCAATGAATTCAGCTGCATCCTCTCAACAAAAAAACGAAAAAGAGCCTGAATGGAAATAGAAGCGCTGTATTTGGCTCCTATCGATGTTATTTGCACCTTAGAGGTGCCATCTCCCAACTGAAACAACTACCTAGCTGTTTTTGTTTTATTTCTGCAAGGACAGGTTTCTCAAAGTAACAAGGCAATGGTGTCAAAATGATCATATTCTTTCATTGGACAGCCTTAGCCGCAGAATAGTTAACACAGATAACACCATAGATCAACACAATGTGTAGCTGATACAAGTTTACACAAGCCGTCCTTATGATACCCTATACTCTTCAGCACAGTCTCTATCATGTCTCCTTGATCATTTTTCTCTTACTTATTTTCTCTCTCTTCATTAATAACTTATTTGTTTCCAGTTGCTCTTCTTTTTCCGGCTTCTGTAGTTATTTCATCAGCCCTTTCATCATTCTCTCCTCTCCTCTGCAGCTCTTTGCGGAGGGGAGCTGACGGAGCCGGCCGGCACCATCCTGTCTCCTGATTGGCCACAGAGCTACTCCAAAGGGCTGGACTGTGTATGGCAGATCCATGGCAACGAGGAGAAACGCATTGAACTGGATGTCCAGATGTGAGTTTTGATACTTGTAGTTATTGGCAATTAATAAGTTACCAACCACGTTTGATTGTTGTGCCTTTGAATGTGTATCTAAATAGATTAAATGTTATGTTGCAACAAATCTGTACACATATGTCATCACATAATCCCTTTACATTACATAATTTTGCTGAATTGATATACTCACTAAGCCTAAAATGCACCATAGTACCTTTTACCAGATTGCACATAGATTATACTGAATGTCTTTAGTGCCTATATGTTATTTCCACCTGAAAAAGAAAGGTAGATATCACAATATCTAATCATTGAAACCTAATTCCCCTTTTCATTCTTGTCTTTCTTCCTAAAGTTTAAATATCCGCCAGACTGATGTGCTGACCGTGTTTGACGGGCATGACCTGACGTCCCATGTGATCGGACAATACCTGGGATCAAAGGAGCGTTTCCAGGTCTCGTCCAGGGGGTCAGAGGTCACCATCCAGTTTCAGAGCGACCCTGATGATTCCAGTTTCATCCTGAGTCAGGGATTCCTCATTCATTATCATGGTAAGTACAATCCTAAAGACACTTGGTTCATTGCTCATTGTAACAGTGAGATAAGAGGGTGTTCTGAAGATCCTGAGGGTTCGAATGCCTTTCCTTTTTGCTCTGTGTCTGTGTCCTGCAGAGGTTGAGCCAAACGACACCTGCCCGACTCTCCCTCAAATCGACTTTGGCTGGATCAGCTCGTCCCACTCGTCCCCCGTGAGAGGAAGTGTGCTGACCTATCAGTGCCAGCCGGGGTACGACATCAGCGGATCGGACATCATTACCTGCCAGTGGGACCTCTCCTGGAGCAGCAGTCCTCCTACGTGTGTCAAAGGTGAGACAAGAAGTGGGAGATACTGTACTTTAACTCATTAAAGGAATAGTGTGGATTATTTTAAGTAGGGTAGTATGAGATAATTACCTATAGTGAGTGTATTACCTACAGTAGATGGCCATTAGCACGTTTGGAGAAACAGACAAGAGTATCAGCACAGAAGAAAAGCTGTGGACGGTGGCAGCAGCAAAACATATTGTTGCCCCTTAAAAACGTCCACTTAAAGCACATGTGTCAAACTCAAGGCCCGGGGGCCAAATCAGGCCCGTGGTGGATTTGATTTCGGCCCGCAGGATAATTCTTAATTACTATTAGATCTGGCCTGCCGATATATTGCACGCATACCTTCACTCCACCTGAGGGTCTCCTCAGCTCAGAGCCTGAGCCCAAACAGTGGGGGCGTTTCACTTCTATTATTTTTCATGTCCTCGCTCCTCTGTCTCACCGGAAGTTGATTTGTCTGCGCCATCTTGAGTAGCGTCCCAGAGGCCTTATTTGTGCCGGAGGACCGAGGATCGATAATCTGCAGAGTCATGAGAAATGATTCTGTAGATAGAGCCATTAGAAATGACTCTGCAGATAGAGCCATTAGAAATGAATCTGTAGATAGAGCCATTAGAAATGACTCTGCAGATAGAGCCATTAGAAATGAGTCTACAGATAGAGCCATTAGAAATGAATCTGTAGATAGAGCCATTAGGTGGATTTAATTTCGGCCCGCAGGATAATTCTTAATTACTATTAGATCTGGCCCGCCGGTATATTGCACGCACACCTTCACTCAATCCTGAGGATTTCCTCAGCTCAGAGCCTGAGCCCNAACTGTTGCAAGTGCTGACAAGGGATATAAACTAAAATACATCATTATGGGTGAAAACTTTATATGTTACCTTACATGGTAAAACCAAATGCAACAGTTTCCATAATGATGTATTTTAGTTTATATCCCTTGTCAGCACTTGCAACAGTTTCCATAATGATGTATTTTCACCCATAACCTTTGTTAGACTTAGGAGTAAGGTCTGGGTGATGAATTTCAGTTCATGTCCTTATGATTGACATTTAAAGTCAGGGGAGGGCTAAACCGCAGAGTCTTACTTGTTTATCAGGTAGAATACTGATACATATCATACATTAAGGAGGTTAGGAGGACACACTGCCTTGGTGTTTTCTCTCTGCTCACCCTCGTATCGCAGCGCCAGCAGCAGAGGGATGGAGGAAGAGTCGGCGGTGAGCTCCAGGTACAGCGTGGAGCTCTCACTCAGCAGCCCACGCTCCGGGACATCATCCAGGTCTGAGTCAAACAGCGGTGTAGACAGGGAACTGTTTCCACTGCGCACTATTAACCTGAGGGGAACACACCATAAACACACCTAATGTCAGGCTGAAGAAGAGAGGGAAGCGTTATAATCAGTGTGTCGCATCAATGTGCTCAGTGAGCAGATTGAAGCACATCAATGTACACAATATCTTGTTTTTTAATTACTGCACATATTTTATTCCAATTCCATTTCAATGTAAATACTGCTATATTTGACTATACTTTTAAATATTGTTTTTGTTATTATAGTTTTCTTAAAATAGTTTCTATCTGTGTTTTGAATTTTTGTTTTACTTATGTAACACCAAGTCAAATTCCTCATAAACGTGTCAACCTACCTGGTGATAAACCTGCTTCTGATTCTGATCAAAAATAACTTTATTTTAAATCAATAGTTGTATACAGTACGTACCCTAAAACCAGAGTATTCTTTCAAAGTAGTGGAAACACAAACTTACTTATCATCGTCTTCATCCAGCGCGATCCTCTCGAAGTGCAGGTGGAGTCTGTGCCCCTCTTTGGCTTCGATCAGCCAGTGGCAGCTCAGGTTATTTCCATTGCTGTGGTTGCTGACAGACGGAGGGGTTGGAGACAGAATCCGGCCGACTGTTGCATTACGAATCCACCCTCCACATGACACAGCTGAGGACAATAACATCCCACAAATCACTCTCCAAAATTCGACACTTTAACAACCAATCAATCAATCAATCAAAGGTTATTTATAAAGCCGAATATCACAAATTACACGTTCGTCTCAGGCAAGGACAATCTCCCAATGACACCCCCACAATTGACGGGGAAAACAATATCAGGGAGAGCAACAAAGAAGGGATCCCTCTCAGGACGGACAGACATGCAACACATCTTGTGGGTTTTGACTAAAAAAGATCATAAATAACAACATGGACAGCCCAGAACTCAAAAATGACAATGTGAGCATATATAAAAAAGATGGAGGGTGTCAATAATCATCTACATGCCTCCAAAAATAAGGTGGGCTGGACTACCGCAACAGGTGACTCATAATCCAGACGTGACCTTTATTATTAAGAACCTGCCAGATGAGAGACACAACAACTCTGGGGATGATGCCCCGGATGCTGAGTTCGTAACATGTTCAGTGTTGTATGAAACTGAGTAAACTGACCGACACATTGGGGCTCAGAGGTGCTCCAGTGAGGTTGTGTTGTGTTGACACAAGTAGAAACCTCATGGCCGCGGACCTGGAAACCTGGATCACAGTGGAAGTGGGCCTGGCCTCCAGGGTGGATGTCTGTCACTGTCACTCCGCCTTTCTCAGGAGACTGAGGAAACGGGCAGGACAGCAGGAAGGCTGTGAATGAAACAGGAAGTAAATATTATTCATTTTAAAAGAGGTTTGGTGACGCAGCTTTCATTAACTATGCCCCAAAGCTATGGAACAAAAATACGTGTAGACATCAGGGAAGCCAGCTCGGTGGAAGTCTTTCAAAAAGAAACTCAAAACACATTTGTACAATTTTGCCTTTTAGAAAGCAAATTCCTGCTCTCTGCTGCACTTTCTCAGTGCATTGCAATGCATTTTAACCTGTCACCTGATTGTTTGTTGAATTTGAATTATACTCCTTTTATTGCAAAATGTCATCGTTGTACATTTAATTAAAATTGTTTTTATGTTTTTAACTGCTAACTGTACGCTGTGTGATATCAATGTTCTGTGAAAGTGAAACACCTTGAACTGCACTTATTGTATAAAAGGTGCTATACAAATAAAGATTATTGTTATTATTATTTTCAAATGAAAGGTACAAAATGGACATATTTCCCTTCATATTTCCAATGTGTTCTTCTACTGGTGAATGTCTACTCTTTTCCCCTAGACTATCATGCTGTCAAAAATCTCACATGTTTTTCTGACCATTCAGTTGACCTTTCATATTCTGTGAAATAATCAGCTGGATTTATCTTTTAATCTTGAGATCTCTGTTACGCTGCCATTCTGTCTTCCCCTCCCCCTCCTCCTCCTCCTCCTCCTCCCAGATTGTCCCAGGTGACTTGGCAGAGAGCAGGATCCATCTTCACTATTTCTTAATGCTCTTAATGTTTTTCATTTTTGTAAAGCACTTTGAATCGCCTTGTGTTGAAAGGTGCTGTATAAATAAACGTGCCTTATCACCATGGGTCCTCATTTTGAAACTGAACATTTTCTCTGATTCTTTCTTCGTTCTTGATTAAAAGTTGTTATTCATTCTTAATCTGTTTCTCCTAATTGAACTTAACCCACAGTAAAGAGCTCAGTGTCGCTTGAGGGCACACTGAAGAATCAAGATATTAGCTAGCTTTAAACTCTATGGATAATGTCACAACTTAGAAAAATCAAGAGTTAGCAAAATGTAAAAAACAGTCCTTGGATGTTTGTGCATTTTTTTCTGTCTATATCCATTGGCATATTTGATAGTTGAAAAATAACTTTTAAAAAAAAAGACTCAAACAGCGAGGNAATCAAGATATTAGCTAGCTTTAAACTCTATGGATAATGTCACAACTTAGAAAAATCAAGAGTTAGCAAAATGTAAAAAACAGTCCTTGGATGTTTGTGCATTTTTTTCTGTCTATATCCATTGGCATATTTACCATGCTTTTCTGCTTTGAAATATGCATCCAAACGAGAGAAAAAAGATCCAAGGAAAGACCTGTCATTTTCTATTTTCATAATGAATGCAGAACAGTCGGTTTACCTTGATAGTGGAGGCTGAACACGCCGTGGTTGGACTGTCGGAGGCTGCGATAGTGTATGTACACCTGATTGGTTGTGCTGCGAATCACCTGACCCTCCCTCATCAGGGTCTCATTGGCTAACAGCTCCGGTCCTGAACCTCCATGACCCATGATGGTCAGAGACTCTTTCTTAGACAGGTTTACCTTCCTCACCTGGAGGAATAAAAGAAGAAGTGCTGTAATGACATGTAACCTGTTAATTACAAGGGAATTCATACGTAAATATACAGCCTAATCAAACGTATGACATCATCAAACTTATAATAATGCACATTTAAAATGAACAAATGAAAACATTTTATAGAAAGTGAGTTGTTTGAAATGGTCCTAATACAATTTGATGATAAGATGTATTATGTTTCCGTCTTTTAAGTCGTGTAGGCCTGTATGTCTCTTACGACCCTGTGTGTGTATTTTTCCCTCCTGTGTGTGTGCGTGTGTGTGTGTGTGTATGTGTGTGTGTGTGTGTGTGTGTGTGTGTGAGTGAGCGAGCAAGCAGGTGGTGCCCGTTAGCTAATTAGCTACCTTCTGCATGCTGATTGGTTCTCCTGAGGAGACGGGAGCATAGCTGCAGCAGTTCCTCGGCCGCTCTCTCTGACTCAACTTCTACTCCCAACTCTGCGCGTGTTGAGATATCTGTCCTGTTGTGCTGTGTACCTACATTTGACCGTATACCGGTCCTTCTCGTCTGCTGTGAGACTGTGTTTTTGTAGACACGATTTATTTTTTCAGGAGTGCAAAACCCTTTTTCTTTTGGATTATTCGTATTCTCCTGTTTTACGTTAGAGTAGGTAAGAAGCATGTACGTTTATGTTTCTCATTTGTTAGGTAAGATTTTTGTATTAAAGGTTAGTTCGGTTTGTGGTTTTGTTACTCCTGTTTTGTTATATTTGTAATAAGACTTTCAGCATGTTTTTGTGAAAGTATTTTTGGATTCTGATTTGGTAATTAAATGTACCAAAACGACATTCTCTGTCTTGCCGTCCATGTTCTTGGGAGTGGGAAAAGTGGGGAGAGTGCAACTTTAAGCTGCGCCTAGGTTCCCCTAGATCTGGGTGTAACAATGTCTTAGCTATAATTAGCTACATTTCACTTAATGGTGGAATAAGCTAGACGTTTACACAGTAGAGCTTAATGACCATTTTGCTGCAGCAACATTATTACAGTTATAATTAGTGCACTCCCATGTGATTACTGCTAACCTTTTTATTAATGCAGCCAATTACAGATAATTCACTTTGTTAAGGTACACCACCGACCCCGTCACCATGTATTAGAATGAAATGTTAAAACCCAGAGTGTTTAAAAATCTTTGACAGGTATCTGAGGTCACATGAAAAGATTAATTTAAAGGTTTTTATGGCCCTTTGCAAATGTTCCTTTTCCATAATCAGATAAAAGACTTTATATTTGAAGAGGTGAGTAATTATTGATTTATAGGAGATAATGCACATTACCTGAATTTCCACTCCATATCCTGGATATACAGTAATGCTGTATGTGCATTCCAGAGGGGAAAAAGTTGAGGATGATGAAGCAGCATCTGGTGACTCGACAACATCCTCCATTGCTGACAAGGTCGCATTGCATTGTACTGTGAAAAGAGGGAAAGGGCGAGAGAAGAGAAAAGTAAGACATGTCAACAAACATAAAGGATTTTATAGCAACAGCTTAATTGAAAATGAACCTCTTGGAAGTTTTTGAGCTGTGACAGATCATAGATTGATTTTTTTTCCCCAACGGATATTTTCACAGCCAGTAAAGGAGTTTTGACTCGAGGTACATGTTGCAAAGTCTAGTCAGCTTAATGAACATTTGGGGAATAAAATCAACTGAATTCAAACAATTAAAAGTTGTCACAACCCCAATACAGAGAAGAAAGGTCAGACAACTACTCCAATATGCCCTATCATTATAATAAAATGTATCTATTTTGTTGGTTGCGATAATTGAAGTTGTATTAGGTTGCATTTGGATGTATTTCATGGCACATACATGCCACTACTATATCTTTGCCACAAGCATTTCTGCAGACAATACTATTACACAGAAAGAAAGATAAGGATGAGGACTTGTGGGAGTGCTTTGAGCCTTCAGTTATGTGAAGATGATGAGTGAAGTTACAACTCTTTACTGAACTGTGTGAACTGTTTGGCAACTGATTCTCCAAGATGCGTCCTAAACCCCTGAAGATCTGTGCTGCATTAACCAAGAAGTCATGAAGGATATATAGTCAAATATGTAAAGAAGCCCAATACCTGGTGCTCGTTGCTAACAATTGTACATTATAGAGGGATACCACTCACATTAGAGTGCAGACAGGTAACACATAGCTCTCTTTCTGCTGTCAGGTGTAAGGTGATGCAAGTACACTGAGAGGAAGACCTTGATCCTGGAAGCAATTCTGTCTTAATGCTGACAATAATTGTATCCATACTGGTCAGATTCTGCTTGTCTGCTTTCTTTATTATTTTCAAACGACTAACACTGTTTCTGGTGTGCATTAAATACATCTACTGGTTCATTTATAATATATAAACGCAGTCAACAATAGCATACTTAGTAGCATTTTTGTTATGGTCTACTTTGGTGAGCATGTGTAAATGTAGTTGACAATTTGGTTGTATGCCTCTCACTTTTTGTGAAATCGTCATAATTGAAGGAATACTTGATACTAAACGAGTTGTGTGATGTTGCATTGGCCTCGATCTTTGAGCAACACATTCTAATCAGATCATCCTTGAGTAAAGTGGATGTTTGTGCCAAATAAAAAAATTAAAATGGCCTCGAAGCGTTTCCAAGAAGCTGTGTTCACAACAATGGGATGCACTGTGACATTTGGTTGAATGTGACAGACAGCCGGATAAACAGATTTATTGACAGATAGCCCAAAGCATAATGCCTCTGGCCTCAGCTGACTCTGACTCAGATGCATGAAAAAACACGTGTTGTTGATCTCTTTCAAATAGGTTAGTGGTAAGAGTTGGAAATCATATTAGATGACGTGCACTGCTGGGTAGCCAGTGACACACCTCTACTGTGCAAATCATCACAGTACCAACTGGATAAAAGGAAACATCACTGAGCTCCAGGGAAATCTCAAACCCGGCTGAAAACATGTCCTCAAAGCAAGTTTGGTGATAGAATTTCTGTTGTCCTGCTCTGAACCATTTTACATTTTATGAAAGTTGTAACAAAAGGGCTTGCAGGGCATGTATGGTAGGACTGTTTGATCAAATGGTTTTAAAAGAAATGACCAGAAAGGCCTACTACACAGACCAATTTCTCTTTATTGAAAAAAGCCACATGGCTGAATCCTGGGGCCATTTTGATGCTAAAATGCTTTTAAGTGAGTCGGCTAACCGCAACGTAGTTTTTGCGGTGTGTCCCGCAGCGTTGGCACTAGTCAGCCTTTGCTTTTTGGCCGATTCAGTGTGTTGGACAAGTGTCAGAGCCCGATGATACAAAAATATAGTCTTGAATTATTCAGCTTTAGCAAATCAGTGCACAAGAGAGAAAATGAAGACAAGCAAACCACTAAAGTCGAGTGGAGTAGCCTTTAGACCTTTGGCCTTTAGACTGGTCCATTCTGTCTAGATATTGTGGAGTAGCTCTGCTTATAAAAAAAAAGAAGACATATTTGTCCAATGTAGCGACATTATCTGTGTGAGGTAGGGAGCCGGAAATGTCTGCCTCGTCGTTGGGCCTGTAGGACAGCGAAATACAATCCAAGCCTCATAACAACTTGGCTTATGTTCGCTTAGTGGCAGCATGTAGTTCTGGGTAACAGCACACCGATTAAATTGGGTAAATTAAATGTAATTCAAAACCAGTAGGCTGAGTACTGCCTTGGGTGAAGCTGTGGTATTTTGGATGTCTACGTATTCAATTATTGTATTGCCCGCATGAATGAAACCGTTGCAATGCTTCGATACGATCAAATGATTGACCACCTCTTGTAATACAAATGGCCTCTAGAGAGGAAAGGGTTTTTCAGTCCATTTGGCGGACACAGAACAAAAGTGACAGCAAAGAAGGGAAAAACAAACTTGAGATTTTTCAGTAAAATGACAGATTCAAAAAAAGTTAAGTTGACAATACTCAGTGTTACACGTCGGAGTAAATGAAGATTCTGGCCACTTAGAAGCAGCACCTCTCGTCACATGTTTAAGATGAAAAGGAAACACTGGACTTTCTTTTTCAGAAAGCTTTAAGGCAAAGTTGAACATTTGCTGATTCACTTTCTTGCCGAGAATTATATGTGAAGATGGACCCTATACTTCAGGGCAGGAAATACATTGATAACAGCTAGCATTGCTCTGTCTAAAGGTACAAATCTACATTTTTACCTTTAGACAAGCAGCGGTAGCTTTAACTAATTCAACTTTCATTTGGTGTTAACAGGCTTGAGATATTACCTTGCTACTAGAGTACCTAGAGAGCGTTTTATGACAATGACAAATCCCAGTATTAATAAGGACGCACACGCACACATCAGTGATCATTCATTTCAAATGACATTTCTCTCCCCGCTTGGTGTTAGCCAGCTGACCCACCCGCATTTCCTCAAACCTCTATTGCAGCCGTTAATGTAATGGTGTCTTTATTTCATGAGCAGAATGACTAACAGCTCTCCTCCACCTGCAGTGAGAGCACCACAGGAAGCGCCGTAGTGCTGTCATACTTAACTCCATTTCTGACAAGGATGATGTTCCTCACCCTTCCTATTATTATTCTTGTCATGATGGCTGACTGATTTGTCAAATTAATTCTCCCTATGATATTAGGACAGTAGCAGTGCTGATATTAGTATTAATGGCTTCATCTGGTTGCACTTTACTCAGCCAGTAAGTTGTTTTCATGCTCATTGATTAAGTCTAATTTGTTTGTTACAATAACATTACATAGTAAGACTTTATTGTCAATCTTGATTCAGAACTTTTCATGTGAAGATGTGAACAGAGAGGACACTAATAGGAAATACATCAAGTGAGGATAGCCAAATAGAGTCCAAGCCCCCCTTGTACGCTTCAGATCTCACTGGTTTCAATGCATCACATTTTTTTTTGAGCCATCTGAATATCTCCGAACATTCTGCCCCTTTTGACGGATATAGACGTAACGTAAGCCATTAAATAGCGTTGAGGATTTTCTATTCAAAGGAACAGCTACGGGGCATTTTATTTATAGTAAATTCATGTTATCTTAAGTCAGTCGGCCACTCGCATGCTATAGAGCTCCTGGATTATTTGGATTTAATGGCAAAGGTGGATCCCATTATGCTGTATTTTGTAGTTTCACCATATATGTGTATTTGCAGTGCCAAGTCAAAGATGCACATGTCTATGTATGAGGTTTTACTGATGGTGTTGGCTCAGTCATCTCACAGCAGATCAGGCTGGTAGGCCAATTTGCTTTCTTGCTTTAGGTTATGGAGGAGAGACAGGGGAGCAAAAGGAGTTTTTCAGACTATGCACCTCATCATCTTCATCATTGATCAGTGTTTACTACAATCATCATGTACTATCAACTCTTTGTGTTTTTTCAATCCTTTTTAGCGGGCATCCTGAAGAGTAGAAGCACATTATTCTAATAAGACCAAAAGCACAGACAAGAAAGTCTGCCCTTAAAATGTTCTCAACTCAGGTTGTTACCAAACAGAAATTGTCGAAAATATGTTGTTTTAGTAAGCTAAGAATGTAAAATCAATACAGAATACTTGTGTTATAAAATGTACCTTTACATTGTAGCTATGTTGACCCCATAGCTATCCTAAACTTTTGAATTAAGTGTTTAAGATCTTAAACCACTAAAGTACATGTCTGTCAACCACTTCTTTTTTTTCTTTTTCTCAAAAAAGTGTTCAGAGAAGTAATTGTAATTGTGATGGGAAGCAAAGAGTCAGTGGGAATTTGCTGACAATGCCGGCACAACAACAATCTTAGCAGCTTTGATTTGGAAATGTAGCTACATTGTTTTTTTTAACATTGCTGTAACTAGCCTTAATGAAACAACACATATAGGGGAAGCAAAGTGTTATGCAGGTACCTGGCATGTGCATTGTGGTTATGGTGGTGGTGGTGATCAGAGTGGTGGTTGTCTCCTCCTCCATGGGCAGCGAGGACATGGGAGTCCTTGATCCTGTCTGGCTGGCAGCAGAAGAGGAGCTGAAGGCTGTGGTGAGCAGCCCCGGGGATATGACTGTCGCTGTGGACTCGCTCTGCCCTAACCCTGGCACCGCCTGAGTCGGGTTGGTGGCAGTACCTGCAGAGTCCCAAGGTTCAATTCAATGTGAGTCATTTGCAATCAGCACTCAACCATGTAGTGCTACAGTTGCCTTAAGCCTCTAAAGCAGTAAAGGCCTATGTTAATGTACCTGTGCTTGCAGAAGCCTCTCCTAAGTATTCCTTACTCTGCAGGGCAGTATGGATCAGGTCACCCAGAGGGTAAGACTCGGGGGTGGGTGTTGGTGGGGTGTCAGGCTCAGGAGTCATTAAGCTCATACCTGAAATAGCCAGGAACAATTACTACATCCACGCAAAGCATAATATATAGCTTTTTTTGAAGATGTAATGCAATAGTCAATGATTTCAGAGGAACATCAAAAGGTGCATGCTTAGAGAACACACACACACACACACACACACACACACACACACACACACACACACACACACACACACACACACACACACACACACACACACACACACACACACACACACACACACACACACACACACACACACACACACACACACACACACACACACACACACACACTTACACACTTACACACTTACCTGAAACTAGGTGGATCATGGTGACAGAAAGCATCACAGCAAAGCGTGTGAACCCCATGGCTTCGGATGAAACTGAATCACCTGAGAAGGTTAAAGAGAGCAGTTTTGTAGCAGGTTCGCAAATGATTGTCATATTGTTAATAGAAAAATAACAGCATATTGTTCTGTGATGTAATCGCTTTTTGGTAGAATATAATAACTGCAAGGGGCATGGGAAATAATCATTGCTGACTGGACTGCACATTTCTAGTCATATCACTGAAAACACACTCGCCATTCGGGTACAGGGCATATGTTTACATCACACAGGCCACAATGCCTCGAATTGAAGGATCACTAGGATGTGAAACTGTAAATCCCAGCACCATCAATCTGAAAAATACCCAATCTCATTCATACGTTATAGAAACGAAAATGACAAAAAAGGCCAGGTACATATCACACGGTGTAATGTTAAATATTCATACTCCCCCCTGCATTTTCACATCCAAATCTGCAGTAACATACCCTAAAATGCGCTATTCCAAAATCCAACCGCAGGATGACTATAAAACTAATTCTATTATTAACCTGTCAATGGTAGTTTGTCAAAAATCACCTCCGCTGTTATTCGAGGCGTTTCCTCGGTGAAAATGCCAGCCTGGTGTGTGACAAAATGATGGGGCTAAACCAGGCAGCATCACTCGCACCTCCCCCGGCCCTCTTTGTGCGGAGGACGATTTTTGGCATAAGCCACCACCACTGTGAGACAGACAACCGTCTCAGCTACATTGTAAAGCTGCCAGCCGCTTACCTTTGTCTTCCAGGCTGCGTTAGTGTTCTTCTTCTTGCACTGTATCCTGTTGCTTTAGGCCCCGAGAACACGGCGGGGTTTGTACTGGTGAGAAGCCCCTAGCTGGTTGCCGTGTGGTTGACGCATTCGGCTATGATGTGAGGGCATTTGTGTTGAAGCTTCAGGTGCGACCTAGCGGATGCACGCGGTAACTGCAGCGGCGCGCGGGAGATATCCACATTTTGTCAGTGAGCGCTGGAGGAGCTGTCCACCAGCACGGTGCTGAAGTGGGTCCGACACAGCGCTGCACGGTGCACCAAGGTAATCAGACAGAGATGTGAGAGGCGGCACGCAGGGGGTACATCGTGTATGTTTGCTCATTTAAAAGCCTGCATGTGCCATACACGGTTTGCATGGCGAACATTCGTGTGCCGCGGTTTCATGTAATGGGTGGATGTTTGCGCTAACATGGGATGCGGACATTATACATGAACCAGCTGAGCTGTGGGGGCTGGCGCAGAGCAAGTAACAAAATGAATGCTGAAGCGATTGCACATAAAAAACGACCCTAAATCAGAATTAGTGAAACATCTTTAGCATGCGTAGCCTATAGGTGTTTCCTGTAGGAAGTATCACCACATCGAATGCAATTGACGTAACTACAAAACGAATTTGTTGGGAAAAGCCTAAGAGGAAAGAGCCCTCCCACTTAAAACACACACACACACACACACACACACACACACACACACACACACACACACACACACACACACACACACACACACACAGTGTCTGCGATGCTCACAGAACATAACTTGGTCTGCTCTGTTATCTGTTTATTTTGAAATTGTCATTTATAAATAAACAGTTGTAGCTGATATACGATATATATATTGGACCAGAATGCACTTATTGACTGCACTTTACATTCGAATAGACATACAATTAATTTTATTACTACCAATGTGGTGTTAATATTGCTTAGATTCATTCTTTTATAGCTGAAAGTAAATTGACAAAGACACATGTTCCAACTTTTAGGATTTCATTGACTATGTTCACAATAAAAAAGTCATAGTGAGACAAAAGTTGAGGCAATGAGAACAACTTTTGTGAACTAAAGCAGATAAGCAACCAAGAACGACATTTAATACGGGTTTTATCATTTACTTTAGTTAGATATAATACATTTAGGGGATTTTAAAGGAAAGAAACATACATTGAATCTGAACTGGCCACCAACAGTGTAAATTGACTCCAGAACATTTCCTGCTGTGAAATCTTTAGATCGACAGCTAGTCTGCTCAGAGAGGTTCGAGAGCAGAGCTTACATAACACCGTGCAGTCAGAGACAATTTAGCAAAAGGGTTAGTGGCTGCGTGATGGACTGGCAACATGTCATGACTGTTTCACTAATTTCTACTAAGTGCATGCTGGGATAGGCTTCCGCCTCCTGTGACCCTGAAAATAATTAAAGTTCAGAAAATAAATGAGCCAGTGGGCTTTTTGAATTTGGGACACTCCATCATTACCTTCAGGCTGAGCTTGTTGGCAAAAAGAGACACTTATAATGATCTGTTAGGATTTCAGTAGCCAAAAGATATCGTATAGAACTCTTAACACTGTTGTTTATGTTATGTTACAAATAACACCACTTATTGGAAACAGCACCTTCAAGGCTACTAGTTTGGGATGTTTAAAGTCTGGAGTGACCAAAGGAATTGGTTCCAGACCAGTAAAATATATATATATAATTTGTATTTTACTGATGTTTAGTCTGAGAAGATTGCATTGCACTTTGCCATTTTAACAAGGATTTCCATAAACTCTTGGTCTGTTTCTGTTTCAGTATATTAGATTCTCACACATTTAAAGGATGGACTCAATGAACACGCTGGCCGTGCCTCCGTATGTCGAGCTGGGTGTCCATTCCCTGAGTGGCCTTCTGTGGACTCTGCTGCTCCTCTTCCTGTGGCACTGCTATCGGATGGGGTCCGACCTGCCCATCCCAGGTCACGCACATGCCGGAAAGCTTAAATCGGGCTCAAGGCGGTCTATTATGTCCCGTGGCGGTAGCTGTGATGGAACCAAGTGTAGTGCACGATCCAAGCTGTTGAGAAGTGATCAGATTACTCCCTTTATTTCCATGGAAACTGAGGAGGATGAGGAGCAGGGACAAGGATACCTCACCCCAGTGATGAGTCATGCCTTGTTCCCAGCTCAGGCATCTGCAGAAGCCAAGAAACTGTACGCAGCCCTGCAAGAGTATGCCAAGCGCTACAGTTGGGTGGGCATGGGCCGCATTCATAAGAGCCTCCGTGAGCAGGTACACGTTTAATCCGTGCGTGTGTATCTAATGTTATATCGCATGGAATTGAACATGTTGTCAAAGCATGTTTAATCTCGTGTAAACGCATCATAACACCTCATTTGGAAGTGCTTTCTGTTTGAAGGGTAAACAGCGGAGAAAGGAAACATTGTGAATTATTGATTGCCTTTTTGCTGTCGCTTCAGGTCCATCTGAACGATCACTCTGCTATACAGAAGCCTAATTTCTTCTTCCTGCCAGATGTCCCAAGTGTTCCTTTCTTCCCAAGAGATGCTCATCGGCATGACATTGAGCTCTTGGAAGCCAACTATTCTGCAATCTTGGCTGAATTCAAGGCTGTATACCAGCGGGGCATCGACTCAAAACTAGGCTGGACCTGTGTGGGACCAAAGGTACGCAACTTAAATCTTTCAGGCCCCACTACAAGAAAAGGTACCGAGCGAAAAACACTAACATCATATGTATACAAATGATTGTAAGCTTCCATAATACTGTCACCAGAAATGACACCAGCACAACGTGGTTAAGTGTCCAATTTCTCACGTACAGAAAACACACATTGATATTTGAATCCAGACCTTAACCTATGCAAGTATAGTTGTATGCTACTGAGACTTTTTGGATTAGTTTTCTAATTCTGCAACCACAACAAAGATGGTTCAATCATTCTCAATTCAGCCAATAGACAAAAAACTAAAGTATGTTTTAGTTTTCTTGTGATAAGTATCGTTCATTTGATCTCTATTAGAGGTCAAGCTCTGATATTTATAGGAGTATACATTGATTGATCCTGTGTTACTCTCAAGTATATGTGTATCTGAGTCATAAGGCATTGTCTCTTTCAGGGCCAGGCAGTGTTTTCTTTATACAGCGCAGGTGTTTCTGTGGCAGGAAACTGTCGCTCCTGTCCTTGCACCTACCGGACTCTTCTCTCTCTGCGTACGTTCATCAGCAGCAACTCTTTAGGATCTGCTGGATTTTGGCTGTTAGGGCCCGGAGCCACGTTGGGTAGTTCCTACGGACCCACTAATACTCGCCTACGTTGTCATCTTGGTAAGTAAAAAGAAATCATTGTGGTTTTTTTCCTGCATTTAGTTTTAAGTACTCAAGCTTTGCACAATGTGGTTCTTTGTGGGTCAGGGGATATTTTGTCCTCAGCACAGTTAGTTTGTTCCATCTGGCTGTAATCCTTTCCATTGTGAACAAAGAGAGGACAATAGTGCGTGATCTTTTCAGCTGATTGTAACCACAATACTTTGTGTTCCAAAGTTTAAACAGATGTCACTTTGGTAGGTCTGCAGACTCCCTCCCTGTGTGAGCTGGTGGTGGGAGGGGAGCCTCAGTGCTGGTCGGAGGGGCACTGCCTCCTGGTTGACGACTCCTTCCTCCACACCGTCTCCCACAAGGGTTAGTCCACCTGAGTCACTTCAACAAATAAACACCTATAACATTATTTTGAATGCTTTTATTAGTACACTTATCATTACAGGTGAATGACTATTAAAATGTCATGTACTGTAATGCATGATCTACATAAGCAGATTGTGAATTTAAAATGTGAGTGTCCTTGGTTTTGTTTTAAAGGTCACCTGTGATGCAAAACTCACTTTTCCATGTCTCTTCTACATCAACATGTGTCCCCTCTGTGGAAAGAGATTCTGAAAGTTTCAGGAAAAAAGATTCTCTCTCTTTTTGTCCTGATCCATTTATATGAAAATGAGCTGATCAGATTTTGGCCACTTTATGATGTCATAACGTTTTTTTGGCTTGTAACCATTAGCCAATCACCAACCAAGGTAACCCCACCCCCCTTATCACCCGAATGTCCTCCTAGAGCACCATTGTGTTCTTTGTAGCTCAAATATCTCTCGAGGCGTGGGGAGGGGCTCCTATCCCTGTGTGCCTTGGCATCTAACAGACAGAGAATCAGCACTTTGGAAACAGGGCTGAAACAGAGGGGATTATGGGATGCTGCAATGATCTGTTTGGTGTTTGGAGCCAAACACTTCAGAGACATGTTTTGATTATATCTGAGACCTATAAGATATTGATGAAAAACAGTATAATAGTGGACCTTTAAAGATGTTGCTCTTTTACTTGAGTTGTTCTCAACAGTTGAACCATGACTCGTTTCTGTCACACATTTACCTAATGTTGCATCTACGTCTATTTGTAAAGGGTCTCCAGATTCGGGACCCCGAGTCATTTTGAGTGTGGACCTCTGGCATCCAAATGTGGCTGCAGCAGAGAGACAAGCTTTGGACTTCATGTTCAACCCCGACCTCTGAAGCTGCTGCTGCCAAATACCGATACTCATCAGGCAGGGATGCCTTACCCAGCTGCTAGTTGTAGGTGATGCATCTCATTCCAGTCGATGAATCACTGTGTGTATCTGCCCTAAGAATTACACAAGCCATTGACCATGCTTTCAAGTGGTGTTGGTTTTAAGATCTACAACAAGATGTGCGTATTATTATGGATCATGTGAGGAAGTGTTAAATGCTAGAACGTTTTGCTGCAAACTAGGAGCTGATATCACCTGCAAGTGCAATGAGATCCAATCTAAAAAGAGCAGATCTGGTGTAGTTGTAAATTGTTTCTTGACGTCATATGTTAGTGAATGCTATTTGCATGTGAAACCTATCTGTCCTGATCCCTGGACGCATGCACACAAACACACGAGTTAGCACGGGATGATTATCTATAGTTCAACCAAAAAACTGTGAAAACAAGAAAAACATATATACTTCTATTTATTTTCCAACACGAATGCCAAACGTATATTAACACACTGTGGTTATTCCTTCTCTTCTTATTACCTCTACATATGCTTGTATGTCATTATAAATCTATTTTTTTGTTGGTGGTGTGCCTGTGGTTTACGCTTGTATGTCATGCAGACATTCAGGTATTTTGGAATCCAAATAACTAATAAATGCATGAAATGAATCAGTATGGACTGTGTGTGAAAACAAGAGTATGTATGCAACATATCCGTGATTGGTTTTAAGATATCACATTGTTTTTATTACAGAAAAATAGCCTGTTTAATACTTTGATTGTTTAAAATAACACCATTCTCCATGGAAATGGCCAAAAGTGAATATGGTTTTGATTTAAACACACTCACATATCAAACTTTCACATTCAGATTCAGCTCTTATTGCTTTTTTTGGTTACTTAGTAGATGAGAATTAGAGTGGTGATCTTGTCTTATCTGCCATCTGCTCATCTGAGGGTCCCATGATGAGGATTACAGAGACTGAACTAATCCAGCCCAGAGAGACAGATTATATTCCAGAGATCGTTTATATGTGGTTGTATGATGTTGTTTCATGACGTGTGATTTGTACAACATGGGACGTTTAGCTTCTGACCTGTGTAGGATTTTACTTTCAAGCTAATTGTATAAAAACTGAAATAGCTTAGCTATAAGGGGTGGCTGTCTTGTAGAAAAATACTTGATAATATTAAATAAGCAAAACTCTCCCCCACATTATAATATAACAAGCTCATCTTTATCTGCAATGCTTTAAAATCTTTTCTGACATATGTATATCTTCTACAAACAATGTTTTAATTCTTAATATTGGTCACCACGTGAACCAATATCGTTTTGTTTTCCAGCCATTGCATGTCATGTTGACTCCATAACGCTCAGTGGGGGTTTTCCACAATCTTGACGCTCTCAAAAGATTAGGACCATTATTATTGTCAAGACAGAAATAGCTTTTATCTCTCACCACAATGTTCGTATTGGCCTTTTGTGTTATGCAAAAGCATTAGCGACCATAGGGGGATTATGTTTTGTGAACGATGCCAAATGAACAAAGAGGTTGGAAATAAATCTGTTATTTATCGTCGTTGGCAATCTGCCACTCCGAATAATAGCCATATTTGTTCAAATGAATAATAATCGGCTTGTTAAATAAATCAAATGGATTCAGATTGAGTTAAGCTGTAAAGGTCGGTCTAAACGGTCTGTTATTGAGTAAACTAATGACCCCTGACTAATGTTAAGGGACATTTTTTATTCAATGCATAACATTAACAGTGTAGAACAACTGAGATGTATTGGCATCAAAATATACTCAAACTGCCAAAAGAGAAAAAGGTCATTATGTCATAATATTGGAATACTGTATATCACAAGATTATAATGAGCAATACATTAATGTGTTAGCCTCACGAATGTTGTCGCTGGTAATATCCCATTTATGAAATGCTGGGGAGCTCAACCAGACATGTTTTTGCTCAATTATATTTTGTCAAACTAATCTGAATCCTCAAAGTGAGAAGTAACTAAAAATGTCTAATATTTACATAATACTTCTTAAAGCAGATGGGATAGGAGCATGGGAGCGAGGCGGCAGAGGATTCTCGGTCCTGCTGAGATTATTTCCTACAGGTGTCATCAGACAGATGTAACCCTTACTTTTGGCGAGGTCAGCGCTAAACATCCTCAGATTATGTCCTCTGGATCCGATTAAATTCACTGCAGACCCTTTCTACAGCCGGCTGGAGTAGGATGAGGGGATATTGTTTTCCACAACTACTCAACTTGGATAAATAACAACAGATATCCTTAGAAAGAAATAGGCTTACACCGACATGCTTAGCTAGACATCACATTTCTTATATCATTCATTTATTACTTTTTGAACAGCTGACTGAATCGGCACCACAACGTTTTAGAATTTGCAAAACTGAAAAGTAGTGGGTAGCCGTTTGGAGCTACTGCTTAAACCTTAACATCTGTTTATTCATCCATTTGAACACAACGACGACATTTGTTTGCATACTTTAATAAATTGAGCTCCACATGACACAGATGAAAATTAAACAACAATAACATAAATACAAGTATTCATAAGAAGTACGTTATCATAGAATTGAATAAAAATACTTCTTTCTATTCGTGATCATCGAGAATCATCCTTGTCCTCATTTCTGTGACATCATTTTCACAAACTCTGTAAAGACAATCAATGGGATATTGATTAGCTACATTCTTGTACAGTATTTCAAACTAAAACAAATCACAAAGCTACACACTAAGTTCAGCTTTGGCATTAAAGAGTGTATTTCTTCATGGCAGACATTGTGTTGTCAGAGTTAGCTTATACCAGAGCCCTGCATCTTTTCTTTAACACTTAAAAGCATTTATTTCAACCAAAGATGATTGATTACATTTATCTTGCTTCAAATGAAATACACACATCTTTTTTCATGCATGTGTGTTTGTGTGTGTTTGTTACTAACCTTCAAAGTCCACTGTTCCGTCTCCATTGTTGTCAGCTTCTCTGACCACCGCCTCGATTTCTTTTTTGCAGGTCTGCTCTCCTAATAACTTTATCATGGCATGTCTCAGCTCCCCAGATGTGATACTACCGTCACCGTCCAAATCAAACTACAGGAGCGAGGTCAAGGAAAAACAAACCATTGCAAAGCTTGTGGACAATTCAGACTCACTTTGCAATCAAACGTTTTGCTGGATTTTCAGATGTTACAGTATGTTCATGTTACATCCACCATGAGGTGCCAAAGACCAGAAAGAGTGAGAATAGGTGTGCTGAGCTCACCTCTCGAAATGCGTCTTTAAGTTCCTTCAACCCGATCATCCCTGCAGTTTCAGCCACGAGCTTGGGGGTCATTAGCTCCACAAAATCCTCAAAGTCCACATGTCCCCCCACTGGGATAAGACAAATAATGAAATATTACTTTGAGCAGCGATCAGACAGAGGAAAAGCACTTTAATATCATCGTGAATACTTTTTTTGTATCTCTGGTAATTAGTGACTCTCTGTTTTAATGCATTACATTTCACTCTGCTGCACTTTGATAATTTTGATCAAACATGCAAGCACACTTCTCCTGGACATTTATCGTCTTTGTTATAAATGATTGACTTATTCTAAATCACAGTGAAATGCAAATGCTTTATGCATGGTTCACATCTAACTGTAAGATATCGAGTATAAGATTATATATCTGTACTCCGCTCCTCTGTTCTGTCAGGCTACTTTCGAAATATAAATATGCAAATGTAATTCGTCGTCCCAGGAGACCCTTGGTAAGGAGAGCGTGAAAGACACGTTTCCTGTAGTCTATCAGTCTTGAAGATATTTTCAAAACCATATACCAGATAATGAATTTGCTTGTTTAAACTACAAAACTGTATTATATTTGTAATAAAAAGGGAGATATCTAAGTTATAATGATGGGTTTCAGATGTTATAAGTTCTTTAATAACCAACTTGATTGGCACTAATGGAGTTTGACATATGTGTTTGTTTTCCAGTCATACATTGGAGGGTATTCATTTCATTTCATTTCAAACCTTTATTTAGCCAGATTGGTCCCTTGAGATCATCGATCTCATTTACAAGGGAGACCCTCCTGTATTACTCACAGTTCATGTTGATGTTCTGACTGAGTTCAATGAGCTCCATTTCAGTGGGCATGTACCCCATCGTCCTCATCAGGTTCCCCAAGTCTTTGCAGGATATGAAACCATCCTTGTCTTTATCAAACTCTACGAAAGCTTCACGTAACTCTAAAAGGGAGACATCATTGAGATGCTTGTGACTAGAATTTGAAACTTGCTAGATTGAGAACAATGTAACACAACACGTTTCAAGTGTATCTGAAAGCAAACAAATAACTACCTTCAATCTCATCGTTTGTAAGAGCCCTTGTCTGCAAAACCAGAATGGACAGAAGTAGGATATGTTGTTAGAAGGTATTTGAAATAGTAGTTAACCACACATTTGACAACTTTTGTGATTTCTGCAAATATCTACATTGTGTCAAGGCATGCCCACCTATCAGCTCCGTTCATACATATACGGATGTGTATCGCAGACTAAGAATGAAGCCTTTTTGGAATTACTGAAAGAGCAATCTGAACACACTCTGTTAAATTGGACCAGATCTTTACGTGTAAAATCATTTTTTAACATGTGTTTTTAGGATGGGCAACCATTTCTTTCACCCATTTTATTTGACCACTTTCATTAAAGTACAACCACCCAAATTATAATAATTTAACTTTGTATTTCATTACAGCAAATGATTCCAATATTTCTCAGCTATGCTCTTTGACGAACACTTTTTTTTTAAATTTGTTGTATTAATATTTTCACTGCCTCTCTGAACATTAAGGTGTTTATTTAAGCTGCTTAAAAGGTGCATATGGTCTTTTTGTAAATGTAATATTGTTGTTCACATGAATTGTCAGTATGTAATAATTAAAGACTCACATCATTTCATTCACTTGTGAAACATATTGTGTGAGCTTCAGGGACATCATTTTGTAATATTGAAGAAAGTATGAGAAGAATGCATTTGCTTCTTTGTTTTTTAAGCTACACATGATCTATGACTATTATTTATATGTGATATAATATATGGAGTATACTGGTATAAATGTTATGTATCAACTTGCTATTTCTGAACAAACAATATACATGTGTTATTCCAAACACGGGTTTACGATCAGGTCCTATATATAGATGAACTAAGCTTTATGTACTTAATTTGTACGTATGTAATCTGTTCAATCCTTTCTGAAAACATTTTTTTTTTAATCTTACAGTATCCTTTCTAATTGATTCCCAGATCAAATGTAAAGTATATTAATTTTAGGATTACTACATCAGCACATCATTCAAATTTCTGTAAAAAAAAAAAATGGTATGTAAAGTAAACAATTCAGATTATAATCTGTGAAAATATATTCTAATTTGTATATAAATTATAACGTTTTTTTGTAAACATATTTTTTTAACATCATGGAAAAAGCACAAAAACTGAGCTCTGGATAAAAAGTTTGCCTTCTCAATCTACTCCACACGAGACTCGGTTAAAACTTGTGCCATTAGCTCAAATTGACCCCTTAAAAGAATAACCATATTCACAAAACATTTCTTTCATACAAAATGATCAGATGATAGTGAGAAATACATTCCTGATAAACCAATAAGAGAACAATGATTATACTTTTGGTAAAGAGAAAACACTTTTAAGACTGAGTAAAATGAAATGAACTCATAAACTGTACTGTAAAAAAAATATATCTTACTTGTCTCCTTGATCCTCCCCTGAGAAAGATGCAGGCTTGTTTAATACTCATGATGAAAGCTTCAGTGGAGACCCTGGTCTACTTGTGTTTGTAAATGTCCTAAGATTAATTCTATGTCCTTCTATCATCCAGTCGTTTTCTTTTCTCCCTGTGCGAGCATGTGTCTGTGTGTAAAGCGTAAACAGCAGTGATCTGCGTACGCCAGAGTCGGGATGAGGTCTCTTATGGATTATCTCTGCAGCTTTGGCCGAGAAGAGAAAGATGGGCTTAAAACTGTGCGTATATGGAATTTCATATACAAACACTACTGTTGTTTCAAAAGCTTTTTCATATAGAATAATCTAAATACCATGAACAACAACTCCTGTAATCATATATATATTACACAGTTTTTACACTTTTCACTGATAACAAATACTTTCTCTCCGCATATTTTCATTTAAATCCTTAATAATTTGAAAAAAGGAAATACATGTGTTTGCAGTTGCAGTTTTTTGAATCCTTTCATGTGGTTTGTTTGTTTGTAGCCTGTATTTAACCAGGTGAAAGCCCCTTGAGATCAAAAAATCTCTTTTTCAAGGGTGACCTGCAGGACATTAGTTACACATGTAATATAAAAACAACAGAACAACAATAAGGATGACATACAACATAATGTACAGGGTACAGTTTACAAACTCTATTTACAGTGACAGGTACCAGGAGTATCAAACAGCATGTCACCCAGCTGACTTTTAAAATGATGCAGGGGAACCATAGTGCTCAGTTTTAAACATGTTTGCAGACTGTTCCAAGTTAGTGGAGCTGCACAACTAAAAGCTTTCTTCCCTAAGACAGTCCTAGCACTTGGCACATTTAATAGAACAACATCATGAGATCTCAGCCAATAAGTACTTTCAATTGGTGCATTTGAGTACATGACATTTGAGTACATGACTTGATGTCTGTGCAAAGCTTTTACCGCTATCAGAATACAACAGATGGGAAGAGAGATGAAAAAAAAAACTATTATTAAAAGGATTGGGAATCATATGTCCCTGCAAATATGCTTAAGTGATTTCTATATATGTGAGGGGAAAATAAGATAATATTAATCTAAAAAAGGTAAGTGATTTTTTTCACTGTGGTGACTATTAATCTCAGCATGCATGATGATTGCAGCACTTTATTTTCACATGAGAACAAACATCATCAGTCTCTTGCATAACAATATATGCATTGGAAAAATTAAAGGTTCTGTGCAATTTAAGAAGATGTTCTTAATCTACACGCAATGCTCATAAAGCGGAGTTGTCTGTTGCATTGAATGAGAGGGAGGCTGTGGGACGAATCCCGATGGGCCGGTACCGAAGTGGGCCGGTCGGACGATGTGGGCCGGTCGGATAAGTCACTAGCACCCCCCCCTGTTGACAATTTACTAGTGGTACCGAAGTGGGCCGGTCGAGATGCCCCGGGCTGATTTTTAGTCCCAGTCCGCCCCTGTCCGCAGTATTGAGTATGTAAGTTTGGATAAAAGTAACATGTAATGTAATGTAATGTAATGAGAGGCCCATGAAAGAAAGAACTAACTGATTCCATCACACAAAACCACACAGGGAATTGGTTGGGCCAGTATGTGCTGCACATAAACAGGACCAGCATTATCTGACAACATGAGCTGAATGCCAGATCATTCTATGAAATCAATTCTCATATCTTTTTACATAACACATGCTTCTTACACTACAGACACATTTAAATGGCTGAGTAAAATAACATTTGCTTTCTCTTACTATGCTAGTTTTATATATTTTTGTGAAACATATGCACATCAGTTGCGGCATCATTATGCTTGGCCTTTTTTTAAAGGGGCCCTATAGTGCTTTTTGGGGTTTTCCCTTTCCTGTAGTGTTAGGTTTTTGTACATGTAAATGGCCTGCAAAGACTATAATCCCAACTTTCCCTCCCACACCACAAAAATAAAGACCTTTTTGAACATTAAAGCTTGTAAACATGTCACAGTGGAGGCACAGAATACAAATACGAACCTGAAAATGAGCATAATAGTGCCAGTGAAATGATAAATAGCTTTTGTCTATTTCAAGTAAATATGTAACATTTGACACAGTAGCATGATGGGAGGACATTTTATAAGTGATTTGGTTAGATATCAAATGATTGATTGAGGTATTTTCTGATTGTGTTTGGAGTGTTTGTCCACCTTGTCTTCTTCCTTATACCGATTATTTTTACACTCTAGACGAGCTTGTTGAAACAGAAACAGTCAAGGGAAAATGGTAATTTCATACTTCATTGAATATTTTTTGCAAATCACAAGCAAAAGTTATCCTAGAAGGCGAGTCTAAATTTGTGTGAATATGTGTAAATGTGTCAATTAATTGTATATATAGAGGATATACATATTTATACATATTTGTATTTTTGTATTATTTTTTTTGTATTATTGTATTTTGTATTCGGGATTGTTGGAAACGTTATTTCGATCTCTCTGTCTGTTCAAACACACAGAAAAATTGACATTAAAGTTGACTTTGACTTTGAGTCGGTTTGTCAGAGAAACCAATGTCGTTAAAAAGCCTGAAATTACATGCAACACATTTTTATCCAAGAGATGTATTTGAATACTCCCTTATTCCAAAATATTAGCCCCTCCCATTGCAAATCCAGAGTTTTCAGAGAGTATACTTCTGTCCCCCCCACTGACGTCTGGGTCACTGCGTTTCTCTTTTCAGTCTCGAGAAGATGGACAGACTGATTCTGCTGACAGCCCTCTGTCTGCCCTGTAAGTTGCTCAGGTTCATGCTGCAATGTCATCTTTTCTAGTTTGCCATCACTACTAAATTCACATTATTTTTTTATATTAACTTTGTGTTTTATATAACATTGAACATTTGATTTAGGTGGAGGATTCAAATAAAGCCCAGTGGGATGTTTGCCTCTTCCTTCACTGTATATTATTTGTCATGTGTTATGTTTGTTTATTTAAAAATGGTGCGAAAACAATACACCTAATTTTAAACTTAATTGGAAGCATTTAAAGCGCTGCCATTTATTCCTGTCTTTTTGTCACTTGTGTTCTTTTCCTTCTGGTTATTTTGCAGCTTTGAATGGCCAGACTATGGAGTCCATCCCCTCCACTGCAGTGGTGGGGTCTAATTTATTACGATGGAAGTAAAACAATAAATGCAAGCATTGTTCAAGGACGTGTAGGATTCACCAGAGATAATACCAACAGCATGGTGCATCTGCGGCCGTCCAGCTTAAAGCCTGGGGACTCTGCTGTGTATTACTGTGCTAGATACACACACTGGTTAAAGGAAGCACAGAGGCTTTACAAAAATGTTAAACACATTATTCCTACTGTCACCAAAAGGGGTCAGTAAAAGATATGTAATCAAAAATAATATGAGAAACCACTACTGCATTTTACCAACACACAATGTGAAAGCAACGGTTGAGTTTGGTGGTTAGTGACTTCCTCTTTTTCCAACGTGTGTTTTTCTGCGTCAATGGAGGGGTTCATATAACTCCCATGTGTTATTTTGTAAGGCAGGTGTGAAGCGTTTTACTAAATAATAATAATTAAAAAAAGAAGAAGAATGAAAGAATAACTTCGATAAGGCTTAAGGTTGCCGACAAAGGGAACAAAACAGGGATGTTCAAAACTGTAATTTTAAGTTTAGTTTCAAACAATAAATATACCTTCTTTCCAAAATAAATGTTCATAAGACGAATCCACACTTGGACAACTCGAGACAGGACAGTCCGTCCCTCTTTTATAGCCTGTCAGTGTCCCTCTCTATGCAAAGTGAACTTCCTCACAGTCTGCTATAAAGACTTGATATCATGCTGTCAGCTGCAGCAGAAGAAGAGAAGCTCCATCAGGTCACCTTCAACACCAACCATGTTCTCTGTAGCTCTGCTGCTGCTGCTGGCTGCTGGATCCTGTGAGTCTCACTGAGGCAGAGACACTGACAGAACGCTCACACTGACTGCTCACTGTTATTAACCTCGCTCACTATTCAACATGTTTCCCTCCACAGGTGTGAAGTGTGAGCAGTTGATACAGCCAGCCTCTGTGACTGTGCAGCCAGGTCAACGTCTGACCATCACCTGTCAGGTCTCTTATTCTCTTAGCAGCTACTACACAGCCTGGATCAGACAGCCTGCAGGGAAAGGACTGGAGTGGATAGGAATGAAACACACCGGAGCTTCATTCTACAAAGATTCACTGAAGAGCCAGTTCAGTATCGACTTAGACTCTTCCAGCAAAACAGTGACTCTGAACGGACAGAGCGTGCAGCCTGGAGACTCTGCTGTGTATTACTGTGCCAGAGACACACTGTGACACACACCATCAGTAGAGCTGAACAAAAACCCCTCAGAGCCTGAACACTTGTAACATGAAGCCACCAGAGGAGGAGCCCTCAGACCAGAAATGATCTCAACACCAGCTCACTGTTACATCATCAGTTTAAACATTTAGATGTTATAATCACTGATACATTACTGTATGTATTCCCAGAATAAAAAAATGAATAACTCTTCTTTAAATGGTTAAACATCAGCCTTTTCAAGTATCCATAATTAACACATATCATATTACTAAAAAACTAACGGCTTTCCCGAGTGGATCCGGACGTAGTCTAGGCGTTATTGAATTTTATTGGATGTCGATTGGCTCAATTAGAGCCACAGTAACTCAACGTTACAACCCAACTCTGATACGTGCATACGCCTGCTCTCGACCGAAGAAACTTCCCTTATAATAATTCATAGAAACATAATTAGTTGAAGGAGCTTTACACAAATGTCACCGACTTCAATCCGTTCAATCGTCTGACCTCCAAAACAGAGCACACCCATTTATGTATAACACAAGTAAACCAACGACCAATGCACAGCTCATTCACAAAGTCTAAGTTGTGTCTAAAGTTGCAAAGGACCCGTACTATTACAAATACTATAATTACTACTAAACTACAAGTTCAGCCGTTAAGATTATCTAAACAAATTACGATTAGTTCCACACGAACGAAACGTAATTACAT